CGTGCTTTAAAGCGATGGACAAAATACAAATATTTGAGAATGTATTTCATGGTAATTATGTCAGGTTTCATGGCCTGAGCTGTGCACTGAGGCGCTGCCTGGATGCCTTAATTTGTATAGAAATTGTAATCATTTGTTCATTTCAAGGTGAAAATTGCATTTTTTTAATTCAAATTGTATCCTGCGTGATAGGCTATTATCTAGAAAAATTGTCTTTGTGTATCAGAGTCTATACCCAGGCGTCACGCTTGTTAAGAGCTGACTGCTTTCAAAAAGGTTTATGAATGTATCTCCCACAGAATGCAGAAGCTTGTGCTCACTATTTTCATTCTGTAGTATTTCACCTCCATTTTGGACTATGAATAAGTCTGCAAGCTGACTGTAGATTCCGCTAGCAACCTGTAAGCAGCAGGCTCCATGCCTTATCTCTTGGATACCTGCATGTTCACCTTGAAATCCCGCCTTTTTTCCTCACTGAGGTGAGATGGCACAGAGGACAGAAAGAAACTGATGCCATACGACAGTAAAGGGAGATATGAGACATATAGGGGGGAAATTGTTGACTGCTCCAACTTCAAGACTTTTTTCAATAGGGTGTATTGAGAGCCTTTTAGACCGAGCGGGGTTAAAGCGACTCCCAGCTCTCTCACAGCTTAATTTTGTGTGATGCTGGAGTGTGGAGATTAGAGTCTGGGGGCAAGGAGGGGCACACGGAGCCTTGGGTGAGGGATGCCAGGGTTACTATGGGGGACTATAATCTTGTATTAGGTGCCTGGAAACGGCAAATGAAAGACTGGGTTTAAAAAGGGAAAGTTCATGTGAATTGCAAGGAGTAATAAAATTGTCTTACCCTATTGACATCTGTACTAAAAAAAATCCATTTCAGAAGACTATAATACTTCGGAGAAGCAGAATATGTCGAACAATGGAGTCTGTCAAAGGGATACATTCTTCTCTCTGTAACAATCTTCTACTAAGCGCTCTTACCCATCCAGGTTATTAGGCAATCATGCGATCTGTCGGTGTAAGCTGATTGTAGGAATGTGGAATCCCTTCGGTGAAGATCAGACACCCAGGCTCAGGTACATAATGTATCCTGGAATAATTATGGGATTTAAGGAGATGTTAGGCTTTGTAAGTGCTTTCTTTGTTACGTTTTCAAGAGGTTGACACTGCAGAGTTTCTAAAACATAATAATAACAGCCAAAGGAGGGGGCAGGGAGGTCTTGTGGTGAAATTCTTCAGACATGTTTTAATCAGTCTGTACCTCATGGCATTCACTTACCTCAAAATAACAACGTGCCAGTGACCCAAAATACTCATTATCATGTAAGAACCACGTCCCAGAAATTCTTTAAAAACTCCCTCAGTTGGAAAGTCAGTTCTTTCATTCAATTGATTATATTGGCCATTTATTTAGTCATTATGTAACAAATTAATTTTGTTTAATTTTTATAAATCATATTTATCAGTTTTTGTTCATATAATAATATTGTGGGGTGGGGGAGGGGTAATACTAAATATACTGTTGTCCAAATTTATCAATAAAAAATCTTCTGTATTTTAGGGTCTTTTGTATTTGATTTTTTATGTCTTATCACATACAGTAGCTACACAAATTTTCAAGTATTTTTATGTAAAAATAAAATATAGTTAAAGCTGCAGTCCGTAGTTTTTCCTCTTTATCGCCATCTCTGTTCGAAATCTGCCATTGAGTCATTCGCAGAGAGAATAGAATTGAGAAGAATTGCGCTGATTAAATCTAACGATCGCTTATCATATCAAGTCAAACTGTGCAAATCATACTTTGTTCTAAAATTGTTAATTTTAACAACATCAGCATTGTAAGACTACATTTAATATCTATTAGGGCTACCTGAACTTCAGTACTCCGTGAATTAAGAATCTGTCAACAACAAATCTGTCTCTGCGTTCATTTTGAACCCCTTCAAAACACGGAGTTCACGCCACCTTTCAAAAGCCCTTCTGATATTTGCTTGGGCCCGGTTGCAGTCATTTTTTTTCTGTAGCCACTCGGAAGTCTTTTTTATTTTACAACGGGTGAATATCCAGTTGTTACTGGTGATTGTCATTTGAACCTTTCTGGATCCGCCATCAAATTTCTAAGTTTAATTTTATCATTTGCTTTGAGAAAAGGCTATAAATCTCCACATCCAGCATCCTCACACACAATATAGCCTACCAGCTGAGACTCCTCCTTCATGTGTGCAGATGTAATGTAATGACGCAAAGACATGCTCGAATCTCCCGCGGAAATCCACCAGTACCACTGGAATTAAAAACATTATTACAAGGCAAGCAAATAGTTTTGAACATTGGCTGGTTATGTACTTGCTCAAATTTATTTTGGATAATTTATAACCCAAAAAAGTTATGGACTGCAGCTTTAAAAAAAAAATGCATTAATATAATAATCATGACCATTCCAAAAAGCAAGTTTATCAGATCATCCGAGCAGCTGCTCCCATAATAGTAATATTGGAAATAGCTGAAATGACATTTATGACATCACATCATTTTAAGGACAGCTGAATCATAAAGTGCAAAATCACATTCCAGAGACATTCCCTCGCTGTGTGAATCCTTTAAGTGAACCCAGATGGCCACACTCAAAGTTGTTTACAATGAATATTCATTTAAAGATCTTATATAAACACAAGAGTTTAAAATCCATCATCAGAGAGGAGCTCGTTCAGATTGGAGGTGCAACGCGTACGCGTTCTCCCCCCATCTTGAGGCAGTAATGCCGTTACACATTGGCTGGTATGAGTGCCCAAGCCTTTGCCCCCAGAAGAAGTGCAGTAAATTCCCTCAGGCCCTGCAGCTCTTCTGTGAATGCACTGCTCTGAGAGTCTCTGTTGTGACACTGTCTGCAACACTTCACTCTATTCACTTCCAGCGCAACTCAATTACTGGAAACTGATATTTTTAGTATCTTAAATCACCACAACTGTCATGATGCTCTTGACTTCAAAGTGGCTGTAAAAATACAGCATTGTTAAGATGGGGATTAAATCATGATTATAGCTGACAGCGACATCAAAGCAATGAAAATAGTGTATGTGATAAATGCCAATAGATTTTCATGTTTTAAGTATTACCGAAAATGAACATTTACAGATTAAAAAGCTCTTCATAAATTTAGTAGATGGTAAAGCAAGCGTACATGCTACTTCTAACCATATCACTGAGTGAACTAAAATGCACACTTTATAAAAAAAAAAAATTAAACAGTAATATATTAATATAGCATATTTGACTTTTGTAGTGGGTGATGAGAAAGAAAGAGCAGTCTGTGTTTCTTTGTCCACTTTTTTTGAGCTTTAATCCATAACAGATATGCCAGTGCTACAGTAAAGACACCAACAGGCTGAAGGTAGTAAATGCCAATACAAGTTCCCACTACGCTAGTATTTCATACAGCTGAATAAATTATGCCATGATAATATACACACATGCTGAACGGAAATATATCAAAGGAAAATGCATAAAAAAGTAAACAACGAAAGAATAAAGAGCAACTGAGTTTCAAACGATATTTTGGAAATGTGTATCGCCTAGTCAGATAGTGCTTTAAATATCCCAAAGATAGATTAACGATTGCAGTAGAAATGAATGCTATACACTAAAAACATGACTTTTTTTCACACTTCTTTTTTGTCTTTTTTATTTACTACAAAATAGTTTAAGTGTTAAAATGGAAATGTCCTGTTGGCACATGGTCATGTGTTCATGTATCAATATTGTCCTGAATATGTATGGCATTTTAGGGCACGTCTGTAGTGACAGTTCAGTTTCAGCTCATGTTAGCCACAGAAATCATCTCTGAGGTTTAAAACACAGCTGAGGAAAGGTGAAATAAGGAGCCATTGTGGCTAACATTAAATGTAAACACAGATCCATAAATGTGGTCATATATTCCATCTCTCAATATTATAGTTTGGAAATTTCTTAAGACAGTTATTCAGAGACCTTCACACTTTTGAAACGTAACCTGCCATAAGACTTAAAAGTTAATTTCTCTCTATTGATTCCCATTGTACAGTTTCAGTCCATAATTTTACAGTGACCACAGAGACAAATTAAGTTCCTCATGAATAAAAAAAGTGCTACCAATTTAGTACATCGCCCTTCAAAATATCTGAAACATGAATTTACAAATCGCCTTCAGCCTTTAGATGGCTAATATCAGATTGCTTTTAAGTTCTTTGATAAATTGCAAGCTATATCTTTCCATGAATAGCCAAGAAGCATATGGGAAAGTATATAAAAAGCCATAAAATGCTAAAAATGTCACTTGCCCATCAGGGCTTTTTATAATGGTAATTAAAGTGACCACAAAGAATAATTTAGTCTGTGAAAAACAGTATTTTTGTCATTTGGTCATCATATTCCAGAACAATGTATGTTTTTAAGACGAAATGATCATAAATAACACTGATAATTTACCCATATAGAGCAGGTCACAGACTGCTGTTTAACCCCATTTCAAGGCTGCTCCAATAACTAGCCCAGGTTTTGTGGAATGTAAGGTTTAAGATCTAAATGAACCAATCGTATACGTTCGTTGTAGTTTTGCAAACAGCCTGCCTGTGTATATCCATCAGAAATGTAATGTTGCAGAGCAAGGCCTTGTGGTTAAAATAGAAACAGGAACTAAACATGAGGGGGAAAAAATGAAACATGTAAACAAAGAGTAATTACAATAGTAAATGCAACAGCAATAGGAACAACCACATTTATAATAACAAATATAATTATAATACCATCATTTTCAGTTCTATAAACAACATGGTCCGAACAGTTTGGAATGGGCAAGCGGTAACCTATGTGTGCTAACACTGGATGCCGACAGGCAGGGCTTTAGTGATTTGGGATCAGACAATTGATGCTCATTTTTCCCTCAGCTTCTTTCTGAAGCCCTGAAAGGGTCTCTTTGTTGTGAAAGAGAGAAAGGATCGGGACGAATAAGGAGATGCGGCACAATAGTGTCTCTTTTTTTTTTTTTTTTAATGAGGAATGGCTTTTGTATTCACACTGCTATAGGTAGAAAGTCTAGGGCTGCCTGTGTTGTTTTAATTTCTCTTGGTCTCGTTCACTCCTAGTCAGATGGGCGGTGCAGAAAGAATGGAGGGATGCTGGTGAAACACGTGGGTGGATGTTCAGTTCGAGATCCATCAATACGCCTGTCCCGTCTCCACCTGTAGCAGTCCGAGCACAGCCGAGTGCTCTCCGAGCTTCATCCTTCTCTGCGTGGACAGGCTCACATTCTTAGCCAGGTAATCCACCGCAGCTGCACAAAGAGGCCAAAACAACTCGTTCATTTCTTAGAGATATGACATTTTTAACCTTTAAAAACTTAAAGGGTTAGTTCACCCAAAAATGAAAATTAAGTCATTAATTACTCACCCCCATGCTGTACCAACCCCGTAAGACCTTCGTTCGTCTTCGGAACACAAATGAAGATATTTTTGATTAAATTTGAGAGCTGTATAACAACCACATTGGCTCCTAAAGGACTGCCTCTTGACGGCCCAGAAAGTCAATGAAGAAAATGTTTAAATATCCCAAGTGACTACCGTGGCTCAACTATATGTTTATCAAGCGACGCGAATACTTTTTGTGCGAAAAAACAAACAAAAATAACGAGTTTATTCGACTATTTCTTTTCTTCCTTGTAGACCAGAACGAGAATTCCTTAGATTTCCACGACGCATGCGCGAGATTTGCGATCTGCTTACACCAGCTTAGATCGCAATTCTCGCGCATGCGTCGTGGAAATCTATAAGGAAGTCTCGTTCTGGCCTACAAGGAAGAAAAGAAATAGTCGAATAAACTCGTTATTTTTGTTTGTTTTTCCGCACAAAAAGTATTCACGTCGCTTGATAAACATATAGTTGAGCCACGGTAGTCACTTGGGATATTTAAACATTTTCTTCATTGACTTTCTGGGCCGTCAAGAGGCAGTCCCTTAGGAGCCAATGTGGTAGTTATACAGCTCTCAAATTTAATCAAAAATATCTTCATTTGTGTTCCGAAGACGAACGAAGGTCTTACGGGGTTGGTACAGCATGGGGGTGAGTAATTAATGACTTAATTTTCAGAGCCTTTGAATCTAAATTAAAATGAAACCATGAATACAAATGTTACATCGACTCAGACATCGTTATTTGTCAGTGTTTCATATGAGCAAACTAATATTTTCATTTTTAGATCTTTTAAAACTTTTTTTGAAAATGATGATTACATTTAGGAAAATGTTTTACCACTTTTACTTTAGGGTTACACCACCACCACCATACAAAAAAATAAAATAAAATAAATAAAATACCCAAAATGTATTAAATCCAAATTGAAATCTTGGACATCTTTAACAAACTAGGATGAGTTTAGTTTTAGGTTGAGTTGAGTTTCGCATCACTGAGCTCTCGTGAACACGCTGCTGATTCCAGAGACACGGAGCACCTGTTCCCTACTGTCACTCATTCCTGTCATAGTGAGTATTCCTCAGCACATTCCTCATTATGTCTGTCATCCCTGTTCTCAGAATTCCACACTTTCCATCATATAACATCCCGTTGCGACATGCCAGTCTATTCCATCTATCCATCTTTCTTTTAAAAATGCCACCCATAAACAACGCATAAATAAATAAATGCAAAACCAGCCTTTTCAAAGTTCTGTTTAGTTGATGTAGCTAAAACTTTTTCAGCTGTACTGAGTAGATTTAGATAATGAGTCCACTCGATTTTCTACGCCTGTGAAAATGGTTTCTGTTGATCGAGATTAGTATCTGTACGGCTGCTCAAAATGCAACAGAGAGAGGGAGAGACAGCAGAAAGAGTGAAGAGATTCCCACCAGATAGGTGTAGCAGACAAAATGGTGTGACTAACATATCACCTGAGGGCATGACTCTCATTGGATTGATCTGGAGTCTGGCTTTACTGGGAGATCTTTATCAGGAGCACGTGTCGACTCTATCCCGCGGGCTAATCCAGGGTCAGAGGGCACCCCGAGTCCCGCTCGCAACCCAGGACCTCAGCATTGATCTGCCTCCCATCTCACACTGCTTCAATTTAAATACACAAGCTAAAGACATCAGGGACGTTTGATTGGTGGAAAAAGACAAGTGAATCGGGTTTGGGGTTGCGAGGACATACCAAGGACAGGATGGAAGTGGTGCGGCGCACAAACCGTGGAAGCTCCAATTAACCCCTCTAGCCACTTCCCTTTTAAAACAGAAAAGCAACCCTCGCTGAGTCCAACTGGAATTGGCTAACTTATTAAGTTAGCACAGCGCAAGCTGTAACCTTCAGGTAATTATTTGCATAGACCTTTCCCACCTACATCCTCAAAGCCGAAATGGAAAAAATTAAAAGTAGAAACCGTCGAGCGGAGGAGGTTAAACCTGAGGGCTTTGCATTTTGAAACTGACAGGATTGACTTTCCACAACTTGCGTGTTTTTTTTTTTTGTTTTTTTTTTGGAGTTGGCATCGCGAACACAGCCACTCCTTTTCCGACAAGTGGTAAACACAGTGATCATTTGATCAAAAATGTCAACAACAATGACAAAATGCATCACGACGGAGACGTCTATGACTAATGGATATAAAAAAGCTTCTGAAGGTGAGCATTAGCTCACTGGCATTAGCTTCTGGGATGTCAAGTCTCTCTGATGTTTTTTGGTCGGAGGCCCTTTGATTACCCCAGTCGAGGAGGTGTTATTTGAACCTCTCCTTCCTTTATTCATCATTAGCAGAAGTGTCGAGGCGGGGCAGAGCGAGGGGTGCGTGCGGACGGTGCCAGACATCTGTCAGTGTGACAGTAAGCGCCGCACGTTAGCGTCTATAAGCAAGAGCAAAAAAGGAAGCTGTCAGGGAACGGCGGCGCGTACGGTAGCTGCCGCATACCTGTGGGTGGGCTAGCTGTCTGTACTGGAGACACTGGTGCTGACAGCTAGCAGAGAGAGTAATCACAGCTCGTTTAACCTCTCTCCCTCAGGAAGCCTTCCTTTCCTGTCAGCACCGTTTACTGCTTAAATCCCGCTCAGACTGAATCTTTACCTTCCCTAAGAGAAGCCCAGAATCTGCTCTCTGACACTGACGGTCACAGCAAACACGCGCCTCTACAAAGTGCGCCCCTAAGCTGTCTCACGAATTTCAATAAAATATTAGACAGGTTGGGCTAAATCAGTGATTTCGCACATCATGGAGCATTTAAAGGAACAGTTAAACCAAATTTCTGTACTTGACTCAAATAAATTGTATTACTGAATATAAACTGATTGTATATGATTTAATGGATCTTACATGGTACAGTTTTCCATGTAATAGAAATTGAAACCATAAAAGTGGTTCATGACACATTATACTGCAAGTCTTCTTATGTTATATGTTAGCTTTGTCTATAGGAACAGATCTACATTTTAAGTCAGTGAATTGAACTCGAGAACCAGATCTGCTTAATTAATGAACGAATCGTTCATGTCAGTTTCGTAACTGATTAACAGATTCATTGAAAAATCTGTTACTTTTCTCATGAACTCTCATGATCTAAGGTGCATAATTTCATTTGACAAATTTCAGTCTATTTTTCAAACAAAGCTATTGTTTGGCTTTAAAATACTTATACTTATGCACAAGTTGTATGGACCACTTTTATTTAGAATTTTGTGGGGGAGATTTTGGAGCTTTACAGCTAAGATATTTAGTGGTTAGGATATTAAGCTAAAAATAAAAATCTTAAAAATGGTCCCGGGTTTAAAAGTTAATAATAATTTTTTGCAATTTCTTTCTTCTTTCTTTCTTGTTTAACCTTAACAAATTAAGTTATTTTATGGAAGTAAATCCAGTATAACTGCAGTTCACAACCTTTTTGACTTCCACTGTCAAAGACGAAATTCAAAAGACCCCAAGATATTCTTGGTACTTATGCTTTTTCATTCAAATATTTTTATTTACAGAAACTAAAAGTACCGAAAATAAATGTTCTTCAGGGTACATGCTTTATTACCAGTGAATTAACACAACTTTTCAAGTAATTCTAGATTTTTTTATAGAAAACTACCTGAAAATTTATTTTAAGCTTGACATAACTAGAAAAAATATATATTTATTACAAAGATTTACATTTACATTGATATTCGTAACTAGATTCCCGTGATTAGATTTCCGTGACTTTTGCAGGAAATCACACTTTTAAAATTCCCTCATACTGTATATTCAGTTTATATCCAAGACCTGACACTGCAAAAATACTTTCATTATAATTTTTGTCAAATCAACTTAAATGAACTAATATTGTTCATATAATATACCAATATAACATAATATTTTGAGTTTCTGTTGATTAAACCAATCTCTGTCTTTGTATCAACATCTGAGTTCATTGAAACAAAACATTTTAAGGCAACTATTTAACTTACTTTTAAGTTAAACCAACAAAAAAAAAAAAAAAAAACATTTTAATCCCAATTGTTGAAGGAACAACAATAGAATTTCCGTTTACAGCTTGATTTTTAGATGTTGTCATGATCATGTCATCTTAAAGTCCATTTAGAAGTTTTCCTTGCCCCCATAGTTGGTCTCGGCACCATGGTTAAGAGAAATCACTGCAGTATAATATTAAAAATAAGTTACTACTTGGAGTTTAAAGGGACACATTTTAGGTTTGTTGTCAATGAAGGGGTAACTTGCATTTAGATTTATTAATTTAGCTGATGCTTATTTTATCTAAAGCAACTTACAAACGAGGACTAAAAGTCCTACCGATGGAGCTGTGGGGGTAAATATGACAAAAAAGCATTTTAAGGAAAGATTAGAGAGGCACTTACTCTGGCCGTACTGACTGTATTGGTAGCCTGCAGTGACGGGGTCCACGGTGTAGCTGGTGGTGCTGTACGTAGGGTGGCAGTAGGACTGGGTGGAGGTGAGGCTGTCGGCGGTCTTGATAGGCTCGGAGCGCTGGCTACAGCTGGCTGAGATGGGGTTGGAGGCCTCCAGGCCGCTGTGCAGGGGGATATGGAGAACTCATGCTGGGACTGAGGGGCCACGGCACTGGGGTTGCTGAGGATACTCATCACCTGGTGGGTTAAAAGAACAAGAGGCAGGATCAGTAAAAACACATGGAAAACACTTCATAAAGGCAATAAATCTGTCACAAATCATTGTTGGTCCCTGCATGTCACTCAAAAGTTCAAGGCCTCATTCCTGATAGGGGTTAAACATCTTCACAACGACCCTTTTCCTGCATCCCAAGGGAGCATTTACCAGCCTGAAAACAGTGTCAGCCTAAATAACAGAGACAGAAGGGACCAGTGTAGGGCTGGGTGGTAGAGGGGGGTGTTCAGAGAGTGCCAGGATTGTCTATCCTAAGGCTTTTATTATAACAAGCTCCCAGGGTGAGTTTAATCTGGAGCCTTCAGCCATCCCACAGTCTCAACCCTCATGAATGATTAAAATAATAAACACTCATATTACAGTAGATGCCCCCAGAGATTGGGAGATTAGACACTTGACAAGATCTGTCCTTGTTTCATGTAATATTGCGTACAGCAAAATGTAACCCGGTAAACTGTGCAATAGTACTGTATAATAACTATAGTGATATTTTAATATTTTCTACCACCATCCAAATTTGGGAATCATTCAGTATTTTTAAAGAAGCCTAATGCACCAAAGCTGCATTTATTTGATCAAAATATAGTAAAAACGGTCATATTTTCAAATATTACAATAATTTAAAATAATTTATCTTTTAAAATGTAATTTCCTGTGATGGCAAAGCTGAATTTTCAGCAACTCCTAACTTGGCCTTAACTATTGGTGGTCCAAAGCATATTCTTTATAAGGAGTATGCGCTGATGCCATTGAATAGGAGATATACGGTACCAACCTATCAGTTGAATGGGTATAAATTGTCTCTTATTCCATTATCAATTAAATTATTGAACAATAAGTCAATATTGGTGTGTTTGGGGTATTGTGTAATGTCTTATTTGTAGTTATAGTGTAATATTACAATTGTGAAACGACTGATATATGCCATTTGGAAATGTTATGCGTGTTAGTATGGATGTGTGACTGTTGGGTGTTGACGTGCTTTCTCGATTGTCCTGCTCTCTGGTGTTTAAGACAAATTTATTCTAAGGGAGACAATAAATGATTAACTAACCAACTAAACTAAATAAAACTACATTAATCACATTTATATATTCACACACACAACAAAACACACGCACACCTATTCACACGCACCTATTCACAAAAAAAACAAAAAAAAGGATAAGGGGTGGAGACAGAGGGGGGGGAAAGTGTGTGAAAGGAGGTTGCTCTGCCTGCCACATGCTCCCCATCCGCAGACTGAAACAAAGCATCCTCCTGAACATCAGGTTCACGTTGTGGCTCGCTACGCCCCACTGCCCTTTGGCCGTCTCAGGACCCAACCTGCTAAACCAATTAGCCCATCACAGAGCTGCTGCGAGCGAAATCAAGCCCACATGCACCGCTCAAAACAACATCCATGGGCTATTTGTTGAAGTCTGATACAACCCAGGAGTTGACAGAGGACTCCAGAATAGTCAGCTGCACATTGGGAAATAAACCAAAGTACCAACGCAAGGAAACAACCCACCAGTGTGCATACATGCTCAGACGCATGGCCTAAACAGATAAGTGAATTTAGACTAATATCCTCCCAAAGCTTCCAGGAAAATATGGAGCACTTGAAACATATTAAATACATAAAAGGGCACTTGAAACAGTGCATGTTGGACTATTTGAGTGCAGAAAGTCCCTCTTCTCAGTTGTGGCGCATGTGATATATGATATGAGCAGGCCAAGAAGACTTCCTGTGATAAAGGAGAGAGAGGGAAATGTGTTAATTAACGGGGCAGCACATGGCGGGCTGTCACACCGCTGAGCGCTGGTGTTTGACCCTGGACACGGGGCGATGGGTCAGGGCAAACCGCCTGCCCGACAGGGGGCTGAATGGGCAGATGGAGGGGAGACAGACTTAACAGGCGCTTAATTGAGGTCTGATTATATTCAGCTCTAACCGTTAAATGAAATGCTCAGGTCTGAATGCAGCACTATTGTGTTGAATGTATTGGATGCAGTTTTAAATGAAACTCAAGTCGGTATGAAATGAAATTCAACCAATATATTTTCTATTGTAAACATTTCATCAATGCAGGTATTTTATATTTTTCACATTTGTCTCGTAATTTTTCATCAAAATGTCAGATCTTACAGTAAACCCATTGTTTAAACCCCGCCCTTTTCTTTCCCAGCTCGCTTTTTTCATCTGCCTCCATCTAATCAACAACCGATGGATTAAACCATGTCACCACATTTTTCACTTTTCTTATAATTCATTCAGATATACTACACAATAGACAACACAAAAGAAAAGATCGGTCTCTACTTCAGTTTTATCATGAGTCGACTTTAAATTACAAGTAATGTCTTATTTGTCTTTTTGAATGAAACATCAATGACATTTAATCATTAGACAAGCACTGACATCCAACCTTCACCATAGGTGCCATGTCTGGTTTAACAAATGATCACAAATTGTGTTCATCACATAAAGCTATTATACGACTTGGGACATAGTGCCTGAGACAAATGGAAACGTTATGCTTTTGGAGCTTCCAAAAAAGAAACGAAAAAACATCATAAAGGTGTTCATATGACTCAGTTTAAAAGCTATTATATGACTTAAAAAGACTTAGAGAATATATAATAATGGAAAAAGAATATAGTGTCTGTGAAATTTAAATGTGATGTGAATGATTGACAGATGTGGGGCAGTCACACTACACATTTTGTTCCATCGACTTCCATTCATACACATGCGAATGCTTCAGTTTGGAAACGCAAGCTCACGCGAAAAGTGTCGCATTCCAAAGTTCAACTTTGGTGAAATCTGACCTGCGAATTCGCATCACAAGAAGACGTGTGACCAGTAGAAGATCGATACTTCATGGCGTGACCTCTTAGCTGAATTAAAAATTGGGTAGATTAAATATATTTTACATTTTGAATATATTGCTATTTGTTTTATATTAAAAAAAAAGTGTGACATCCAATCACGACAGTTACCGTGTCCATAGAAATTTTGTGTGCGGAAAGTGCTGGATGAAGATTTTCATTTTGTGTTTTGGGAAAAAAATAACAGCAAATTGGTTTAGGTCAAGAAAATAGAGTAAATAATACCCACATTTATTATGTGTAATGCTCTTAATCTTTTTTACATCTATACCTCAGCTCATTTAAACTAGTAATTACAAGAATTTCCAGCACTCCGCAATGAAGTCGTGCAATTCTGTAATCCTCTATATTCCCCAAATACTGACGTTTCACTGTAATATGAGGTAATTTGAGCTAATAGTAAAGCTTGAGCCTATGTAAGTTCAGCATCTCCCCAGGAGTGGAGTTTTAATCAGATGAGCGGGGGACGCTAACACAAGGGGTGTCAGCCCAGAATGTGGGCAGAGAGGTGGGAGAGCGCCGGGTGCCTGACACCTCCATTCAGCCCTTCGCTTAAGCAGCCTGTAGCCTGGGTGATGCCATTATTGTGCTGGAAGACAAATTATTCAAATCTTCAAATTTAGCATAACCTTATTGACATCAATTAAAGTGGCAAACGGAGAATATTCCAGCCCGGTGAGAGGTAGAGCCTGGCTTTTATCACGAGAGGCAGCACGTGGTGAGGCTATTGTCAGCTCAATCCTCTCGCCGCACAGTGCACCGCGGAGAGAGGCCTCCCTTAAACCGCTGCGCCCAGCCAGCTGTAATTAGGACATTCAACTTAAAGTGCACATGGAGCCACAACACAAACACTAACAAACAGCAGGACTGCCTGTGAACTCTTTACATGGGCTACTGCACTCACAGTGGGACAACCGCAAAACAGAAGGGCTTGAAACGACAGAGTCTGGCTCTGTTTTAGAAAGGGCTCGTTTCTCAGCCACGATTCTGTCAAGGCAATCGCCGAGCTCAATTAAAAGCTTTTTTTTTTTTTTTTCAGGGTTTGCGCAGATACTGTCAAATTAAATTGCAGGACTTTCAAGCACTGATTTTTGGTTTTCAAGGGCTACAATCACAGATGGCCTTATCAAACTATATTTTTTTTAAAGTCAAATTACAGATATTGG